GGACCGGGCAGTGTTTTGTTCTGCACAGGATCACATTTAATAAGCGCCCACTCGATGGCACCTAATGACAAGAGCAACATGTCTCTGTATATTACAAAAAAAAAAAAAAAAAAAATTCTGACTTGAATGTTCATAATGATAATTGTTGTTGTTGTTAATTGCCATTGAAGTTTCAACTCATAGTGACCCTGTATAGAGTTTCTGAGAAATGACTGGTGGGTTTGAACCAGAGAAACCTTGTGGTTACCAGTCCAGTGCTTATCCTACAGCACCACACCAAGATTCCCTAATTATAATCAGTACTCCAATTAATCAAAACATTTAAAGCATGAGGATAAGTAAAAAGCATTGCTACAAAAATCCTAGAAACCTTTATTTAAAGAACTATCCAAATGTGAGGCTACTGTTTCTTGACCTAAATCCCATCCAGGCAGTGTAACCCTCCCACTACCTGTTTCCCCAGGAACTCTGTGCTCTTTGATTTGTAACACATTAAAAGGGCAATTTTTGGCATCCTCGAGGGACACAAACAGTGTTCCTTTTTAATGTTATTTAAGTTTTGAGAACAAAATGTCTGAAGGGACAAGATCAGGGCTCTAGGGTGGACAGGGTAAGGTTTCCCAACAAAACCCTGCTATGACAATCAGTGAACTATGAGTAGGACCACTGATTGTTGTGATGGTAACAATTTCTCAGTGTAACTTTCCTGGCCATTTTCCTCATCAATGCATTTTTCAGTTTTCTTACAACGTCTTCCTTCCTAATAAGCCCCCATGATTATCCTGTATCTTTTTAGAAAATCTATTAAGATTATTCTTTTGGAATTTCAAAAAAACAGTTGCCATAACCTACCACCACTTGTCTGTTAGTTTGTCATACTGTGGTAGCTTTTGTGTTGCTGTGAAGCTGAAAGCTAAGCCACCATTTTTAATACCAGCAGGGTCACCCATGATGGACAGATTTCAGATGAGCTTTCAGACAAAGACAGACTAGGAAGAAGGAGAGGCATACTACTTCCAAATGTTTAGCCACTGAAAACCTTATGAATAGCAGTGGAACACTGTCAGATAGCGCCAGAATCTTGAATATTAAAATGTTATGAAGAGCACCTGAATATTGTCAGGTATAGTGCTGGAAGATGAGTCCCTCAGGTTGGAAGGCACTAAAAATATGACTGGAGAAGAGCTGTCTTCTCAAAGTAGAGCTGACCCTGATGATCCCTCTTGAAGTACAATGCTGTCTATGGTAGGATAATCTCCATATGCCTACAAGGAACACCAGTTAATACCACTATTAATCAAACTGAATCACCAATTACTAAATCCAGTGATTATGAAACTGAAGAATTCTATCAACTGCTTCAGTCTGAAATTGATCAAACATGCAATCAAGATGTATTGATAATTACTAGTGATTGGAATGCAAAGGTTGGAAATAAAGAGGAAGGATCAGTAGTTGGAAAATATGGCCTTGGTGATAGAAATGATGCTGGAGGTCACATGGTAGAATTTTACAAAACCAATGACTTATTTATTGTAAATATCTTTAAAAAATAATATAAAAGATGACTGTGCACATAGACCACACCAGATGGAATAAATAGAAATCAAATTGACTATATCTGTGGAAAGAGACAGTGGAAAAGCTCCATATCATCAGCCAAAACAAGGCCAGCTCATATGAAAACTCAGGCTGAAGCTGAAGAAAATTAATAAGTCCACAGAGCCAAAATGACCTTGAATATATCCCACCTGAATTTAGAGATCATCTCAAGGGCAGATTGGATGCATTAGACACTAATGACTGAAGACCAGAAGAGTTGTAGGATGACATCAAGAACATCATACAGGAAGAAAGCAAAAGGTCATTAAGAAGACAAGAGATAAGGAAAAGACCAAAACGGACGTCAGAAGAAACTTTGAAACTTTCTCTCCAGCATAGAGACGCTAAAGCAAATGCAAAAAATGAGGAGGTAAAAGAGCTGAACAGAAAACTTCAATGGATAGCTCGAGAAGACAAAGTCAAATATTATAATGAAATGTGCAAAGACTTGGAGTTAGAAAACCAAAGGGAAGATCAGGCTCAGCATTTCTTAAGCTGAAAAGAACTAAAGAAAAAATTCAAGTCTTGACTTGAAATACCAGCATCAAAAGCAGGTGGAAGGAATACAAGTTATTGCATTGCTCCCCAAGACCTCTTTAAAGTGTTCAATAGCAAAGATGTCAGTTTGAGGACTAAGGTGTGCCTGACCCAAGACGTGGTATCTTCAATAACCTCATATACATGGGAAAGTTGGACAGTGAATAAGGAAGAATGTGGAAGATTTGATGCATTTGATTTACAGTGCTGGAGGAAAATAATGAAAATACCATGGACTGCAAAAATGAACAAATAGATCTGTGTTGGAATAAGTACAGCCAGAGTGCTCCTTGGAGGCCAGGATGGCCAGATTTCATCTCTCATACTTTGGACATGTCAGGAGGGACCAGTCACTGGAGAAGGATATCATGTTTGGTAAAGTGGAGGGTCTGAGAAAAAAGAGAAAGACCCCCAATGAGATGGATCAGCACAGAGACAACAGCAATGAGTTCAAAAGTAGTAGTGATTGTGAAGTTGGCCCAGGACCAGGCAGTGTTTCGTTCTGTTGTGTATAGGGTCGCTATGAGTTGGTACAGACTTGATGGCACCTAACAACAAAAACAAAGTGAGACTGAGGGGTCCTGGTGTGGTGCTGTGGGTTAATGTGCTGGACTGCAAGGTCAGTTTGAACTGTGAGGTCGGTGGTTCTCACCATCTGCTCCTCGAAAACCCTATACAAGGTCGCTATAAGTCAGAATGGACTTGATGGCACTTAACAACAACAACAACAGTGAGACTAAAGGAGCCCTGGTGTGGCGCTATAGGATAAGCACTAGACTTCCAACCACATAGTTGGTGGTTCAAATTCACCAGATACCCCTCAGAAACCCTATACAGGGTTGCTATGAGTTGGAATTGAGTTGATGGCACTTAACAACAATACCAGTGAGATTAAGAGTCTTGGTATGGCTTTGTAGGGTAAGCACAGGACTACTAATGGCAAAGTTGGCAGTTTAAACCTATAAGCCACTCTCAGGAACTCTATACAGGATTGCTATGAAGGGGCTCTGGTAGCGTATTGGTTACAAGTCGGGCTGCTAATCTTAAAGTCAGCAGTTTGAAACTACTAGCAGTTTTGCAGGAGAAAGATGACACTTTCAGCTCCCGTAAAGATTTATAGCCTCGGAAACCCTGTACAGGGTTGTTATGAGTCAGAACTGACTCAAAGGCACATAACAACAACAACAATGAAAGTACGGAACTCTGGTAGGGCAGTGAGTTAAGTGTTTGCTAACTACAAGGCTGGCAGTTCAAACCTACCAGCTACTCTTCAGGAGAAGGAAGAGGCTATCTGCTTCCAGAAAGATTTACAGTCTCAGAAACCCAAAGGAGCCATGAGTGATACTGTGCCCTATAGAGTCACTATGAGCCAAACCCCGCTCCATGGCAGTGGGCCTTGTTTTTGGTTTTAAACGAGACTAGGACAAGTGTATTGCTGAGAAAACCCACTAATGTCAGAGACATGTTTGAGTCTGTTTTGGTTGGAATCAATGTATGCATGTATGAACTGGAACTCTACTAGCCAATACTTTTGGACCTACCCTTGTATACTCTATATTATGAAAGGAGCACTGGTGGGGCAGTAGTTAAGCACTTTACTGCTTAACTGAAAGGTTGGGGGTTCAACCCTCCAGCTGCTCCTCAGGAGAAAGATGGGGCAGTGTG